ATATGTTTAAAGGTTCTTTTGAGAACATTTATATTACAACAGGTAATGCTCATCACGTAATGTCTGATATTTCAAAAAGAAGAATAAGCTACCTGTAGACTAGTTGCCTTCATCACTTCCTCCGAATATCTGCTCAGCATAACCAAACCTCATCGTCGGGGCTCGGAAGCGCGTCCAAGACTCACGTCAGGGCTTCTACAATTAGTTCCCTGATGTGATTTCTGGCTTTAAACAGCCCCTAAGTAGAGAATTTTTCTTGCCTTAGGTCATATTACCTGCTGTAAACAGATGCCTTCAGACAGTCCCAGTACATTTTTGCTGTCGTGACTAATCTATTGTTGTGGATTTGAACTGCACCGAGGCCGCCGCGCTGTGTTGGCCTGAGAAATCTAAGACGGCAGGAGGTAGAGGAGACAGCCGCTTGATGGGTGGCTCAACCCAGCTGAGTTGATATAGCGTCGATTTGCAAATTGTGCATGACTAATGATTTTGTCTACCAAAACAGTTTGGATGAACCGGTAGAAGTACAGAAGGCTGACTAGATGATTGAAACGAGTACCAGGGTGGTGCACATGCAGACGGGAACGCTGTGAAAGGGGGATGGCGGTTTCGGCGACAGATTCGATTGACGTGAATCAGCACAATTCACAACACCACTCATCTAGAATCCCTTACAATGTGGTCACATTTTATCTATTTGAAACTAACTGCAAATTTTAGTCATCGCTGATTCTGTTAATCTAATGAATCTGTGTTAATATAATTTTGTGGATAACTCTGCAGATGTTAACCCTTCTGTCAACTCAACCCTCTTCTCACTTGCAGCACCACAGGTCTAAATCATACACCAACAGGTTTCCACAGCACAAATCAAGCGAAATGGTTGTCGACAAACCAGATCTCAATGTAACAAAATTGACTGGTAGGTCTTCCTGGAAATCTACTAACCCATTTTTCACAAGTTTCCTGACCAGATTCTGGCGTCCCAGATCAACGTCACAGCCGAATAAACCAAATGGTTAAACATGGGAAAAAAGAGCGTAGGGTAGTGGGTCATGCATTCAAGGCGACCGCATCGTCATATCTGGCACGCAGACTGAACCGACAGGTTGGGGAATTTCAGTGGCTCACAGTGGAGGCAGAAAAGTGGTTCAATCCATCAAATTGCTTGACACATCAGTTGCTTGTCTAGGATTTTTTTAGCTGATTTCGGACTGCGGTGATTCCACACGATTTAGTCTGTTGCTTCAATGCCTCACTAATAATCTTTTTGTTTAAATTTATATTGCAATGCATAATTACGAAGGAGGATCGTGTAAATGTTACGTCTTCAATAAATAGTTAAGGAATTTAGCGGCGCGATAATCACAGGTTAAACGGATCGATGTTCGTCTCACGACAATTAAAGAATATAATTAATGCTAATTTTAGAAGATTATGCGAGATAGCCTTTGTGGCCATAACATTTAGCTTTTGCTAGATGCATTTGTTCAATCACAGACAGTGGTAAATCTGTTAACTTAGTCAGGAGGGTTAGAACTCGGCATCACGTATTTTAAAGACAACGAATTTTTTTTACTTTTCTGCTATAAATGGTTATCCGCGCACTGGCAGTTCGCAGTCACTGCATCTGTCACATTGGCTGTTGGTATTAACCGTTGTGACAGAAGGTCCCCTGCGACCTACGCAGTCTAACAGACGCAGAGCAAATTTCAGTTCCAAGGAAAATACGAGGGGGACGAATCGGAGCAAAGCATGGCCCCAGGGACTATCTGCTGTCGCGCCTTAGAAATCCAAGTTAAACAGGCAGGATTAACTGGCTTACTCAAAAATTTGTGTCGTAATCGTATTCCTGATTTCGGTAGAAATGAACTTGACGATTACGAAATTCTATTACATAAGAACGCAGCAGTTAGGAAACAATGAAATAAGAAACTCATTTTTGCAGCAGAACTATTTTCGTCGAGTTTAGTGGAGATTAGGTCAATATTTCAGAGCCTTTCTAGCAAAGAAAAGGCTTGCGCACTTGGCAAATTTTTTCACTGAAGGCACAAGGTAATCTAGCTTGTCTATCGGAGTGTCGCCGAAATGATACCAAAACACACAATCAAAAGCGGTTACACAGAGGACAACGAAAGTCCCATTGTTTATTTGCTTTCCGTCTGTTTGTTTTCCATCTCTGTTTAACACTGCAACTTTCTAATCGATGTTCGAGTGAAACGACTGTTGATAATAAGGGATGATCACTGCTTAATTTTACAAATGACGATGAGGAAACTTTGTAAGGTAGATATAACGCTATATCCCATTGAAGATGGTTTACTGATTCATAGCTTGAATCATAATTTAATCCCATTAATTCATAATAACTCAACAAATATGTCCCTGAAAACATGGACACGATGAAGTAGGACGAGTAACGAAATGAGTAACAAAGTTATTGTATTGCAGCTCGACAAGTTCACGATTAACCCAGTTAGTCGTTTCATGTTAAAAAGCGGTATGCTAATGATGAAAGTCCGAAAACCCATCAACTACTGTTAACTCGTTGCATCTCGTGAGCCTCGTCAAGTAATGACCTCAATTTCAGCCTACAAACGTAATGGCGTCTGTTTTGTCTAGCTGAAAGTTTGAAAAGTTCACCTAGTTGGTGACGTAGAAGCCTCGCATAGATGGAATTTTACCTGACATTAAAATGCTTCTAAGCTAGACAATTAAGGGGTTTCGGATTATTCACTCTTCGTTACTGACTGGACTGCTAAACTAAATTTTTGTAACAAGTACTGGCCTGATTAAATCCACCGCATCCATTCACCCATGCAATTAATTTCCCCATTTCAGAACTCCTTGATTAGCATTTCTCAAACTTGTATCTTTTTGACACCTTGTTTGCCTTGGTCGCAAAAAGGTCCTCTGCGTAACAACTGCCTGAATAATTTTTTTACAACAAAACTTGAGATTTGGTTGATTTTTGACAACTGTTCTCAATCCCTGAGATTTTTCTTATAAAACGATAAATGAGTTTTATTATCTTGCCTTAAATTGCAAAAAAAGGAGTAACTTAGTTGAACTAGGTCGAATTTTGTCCTTTTTTAATTTGTGATGTTGGGCTTGACAAGCGTTTTGATAAAAAAAATCTTCTCAGGTTTAATTACCTGAGAATCACAGAGACAAAGTCTCCTATCTCTCCGACTCCAGCCTCACTGCAGGTCTAAGCAAAAAAACTGAAAATCTTGCCACTAGGCGATGGATTTATAAAAGTACGCTGGAAGTTTCAACGAATAATGCGATTAGAATTCTTTACATAAAAAGGCTTTAAGGACATTTTGTTGCCTCGGATACAATCTGTATCGAGTATTGCCGAAGGCAAAATTTTAATTTTCATAGTCAAGAAAGTAATTGTTGGATAAGATGCTTGCTGACAACAATTAAACATATTTGTACACGCTCGTAGCACCAACCCATCGAATCAAACCCAACTAAGGGTTGTTATTGCAGCTCTAGTCCAAGTTGCATTTAAAGCTTGCTTATCTATGTTGAAGTCATCAAGGAGGTGATATACGCGCCCACCACATCGCCCAAGCCGGCAAAATATGCTAGAAGAACAAGTTTTAACGAAACGAAAGACCTTAAATATAATTCTAAATACCTCAAAAATCCCCACCTGCAACAAAGTGAATCTGAAGTTAATAAATGGTGCTGCGGGCATTTTAAGTTGTCTCTAGCTAAACCCTTGCAGTAGACTATGTCTGCCAAACGGTGCGTAAAGTAATCTGGCATGTATAAGTTCCTTGTTCCAAAATTCACCATCAACTCTTATCTTAGCGATCTTAAACGTCCTAGAGCTTTTAAAATCCTACGCACCATGTACGCATGTTCTTAGCAAGCTTTAATTGCAAACAAGAGATGCAATTAAATAATGCTAAAACGAGGACTTTCCAAGTATATTGCTATAAAAATTATTAAAAAGTATAACGTATATTGTTTAAAATAGATTTGATTAATAAGAAAAACACCCAAAAAGTATCCCGGCATATTTACTAACCCCTATGATGTTATCTGGTAGTATTAAGATAAAAACTGCTTTTAATAGTTTTGCGTATCTGTTGTCAGGTATCTTGTAAATTCGTTTTCTGTGAAAGGGCTCTTGCGTTGCACATTGTGTCTGTTTTTAACTGATTTATATCCAAAAAATGCTAAGTTGATAATGCGCCTTCTCTGTTATACTGTTGGGGCAATAACCATCACCACGAGCTTCCTATGAAAATTGACTCTTTGAACATGTATGCTTGATGGCTATTGACACCAGCGAATTAAATCAGTCAATAAGGCGTAAATTTTGTGCTTTAGTTAAAATTAACGCTTGGTACACCTTTGTGGCTTTTCCGTTTTCTAAGGGGGTAGCAAAACTGTGAGCAACTGGGAGTTTGTGACGTGCCCTTTTATGAATCTCTGCTCTTCCATTCAAAATAGGTTTCGCAGATGTTGGGGATGTCATCAGTGATTTGTGAAGTCTACTTGTAGTGAACTTTCGTCAAACAACTGTGGCGAGCACAGTTATCAATCGTGAGCGAACGCAGTGTGCAAGCACAGGCGAACACAGTTCATTCGATTATTCGTGAATGAACTCGACGCAACTAGCTGCGTTCAGAGATCAATGCTTCTCAAAGCTATATAAACGCATCTGCTATCCTGTACACAACACACTCCGCTACTGCTTTAATAAATTGGTTGAGGTACTGGTTATCTGCAGTTCTGCTGTACTTTCGGTCTGGCCGTGTCAACGTAGATTGTCGGCCCTGGTGTGGTTTCTTAAACCGCACCGGGGCCCACTACACAACCATGAATGAAGTTCATTCATGAGTTGTTCGAATGTCATCGATTGTCGAATACAGCCGACGTTCGAGATGCACTCACGCCCCCTATCATAAAAGACTTGGGTGGTCAAATGTAAATAAATTGGCATATTTACTGTCATCGGTTTTTGATGCTGATCCAGTTGCATCGTTGCAGTGACAAGCAACGCTTTCGTCCTCGTAATCACCAGCCTCTTCCTCCTCATCTGCCTCTTCGAAGTCATCAAGTTCTTCCTCCTCCTCCTCCTCAAAAAAATCATCATCAATACACGCCAAAGCGTTTCCTTAATTGGCTTGGTCAAGATGAAGAACGACGATGGCGTTGTGAATGTCCGGATGAATTGCTCTAGGTACCTCTAGTGAATTCATATACTTTAAATGATAGTCTGTCCATATGTTCTTTCGACTTATTAATACCCGTATTGTAGCCGTTAGCTGTTACATCAGAGAAGATGGTTTTGTTTCCTAGCTTTTGGACTAGACACTCGTGAATTTTATCCGCCATTTCTGCAAGTTTCTCCATTAATGTATCTGAGCTCTGGAATGAAATTATTGCGTTCGGGTTTTCCGGGAGGCATTTAGCCCATAACTGCTGCATGATGGAGTCGTCAACCTTGTTGTCCCCGGCCAGGCGGCGCATATGACGAAGCAGTTGAGACGGAGACCTGTCACCTAGTTCAATACCAGAGAGGATGTGTCGAAAGCGGGCCTCACTCGAGTTGGTGGTTCTTGTGAGGAAAGTAGCTTTAAATTTTTCATTGAGGTTTTCAGAAGGCATTGTTCCAAGCAAGTCAATAAATTCTGTAGCAACATCTTTTATTAACCATGCAACAACATTTAAATACTTGGAGAGTTGGAAAGTAATCATTTGATTGCAAAAATAGTCCTCAGGTCGCCTAAAGCAAACTCGTGCGTTAGGAGTAAACGGTGGAAAACTGACTGAAATGCTGTTTGCCGAACATTAGGGTCACACATTGTTAACAAATCCGAAGGGTGCGTTTTCTTGGGTCACCAAATGAAGCGACTTAGTTAACACTACCTTGCAACCCTTCTAGTCAACACTCTGTAACAGCCCAATAGGGAAAGACCGATGATAGCAGATATGCCGATTTATTTACATTTGACCACCCAAGTCTTTTATAGCATAGCGCGTGAGTAAATATCGAACGTCAACTATAATCGACAATCGATGACATTCGATCAACTCGTGAATGAGCTTCACTCACGCTCGTTTGATGAAAGTCCACTACATATTTAGTCACGTTCTGTTCACTGGATTAAAATTCTATTGTCACTTCGATCGGTTGTTCTCTACAACAACCTACCTCTTAGTGCTATTTGCTGAACTCACATCTAAGCATCTATTGAACTTCCGCCTCGACTTCCATTTTGGCCCTATCTTGCACTCTATCCTTTGGTTCATAGAGTAAAACCTCCCGCACAAGCTATGATCTCTTATTCTCTTATTCTGTCAAACAAAGGGTTCCAACTATTAGCTCGGAGATTTGCATCAGCATATCGCGAAAACCTAAGAGCTGATTAGTGAAGTTTGGCAGTCATGATCTTTTGGTACGTTGCATTCACAAGATAAATATCCCATTCTCGTGATAAGCTCCCAAACTGCCAATAGATGTAGTAGCACAGTGATGCTGACCAAAATATCTCAGCATTTTGACTTGATGCTATTGATGTCTCTAACCTAAAGTTAGAGATTGATAATAAAAATTCCATAACTAAATAAATTTTAGTAGTACCACAAAGCGAAGCCAGTCTGTTAAATTGAACAAACAACAATCAGACAAGCCACTGTATAGCTTGAAATCACTCTTTTTAAATGTAAAATCGAGCAGCGAGAACTCGTTACTCACTAAATTCAGGCTTTGACCATTTTCTGTTTGCTACAATATCCAAATAGATGTAAAAAATCAATGGCTTATTGACAGGACAAGTCGTGCAAAAAACAAATACACAAACAAGACTTCCGCAACAAAAATTATATTTCACACCATTCCGGGTGTTTTTTGTCTGCGTTCTTATTTTGATTGAGCAATGCTACAACACTATTAACAAACGAACATCTGCATGCATTCGTGTTAATATAATGTAAAATAGTAGTTTTAGGCAAGAAATATTAATTGACTTGTGGATCTAATTTACTACGACCTTTAACATTTTACTGTTGACTACGCACATCAGCCTCTTGATCTCGCAAAGAGATGATCTCCCGGAGATGAGTGAATTTGTACCATTATGTTATCGGTTGATAAATTAGTTTATCTATCATTACGTTTTTTACTTATTAACATCCTCTAAATGAGAGCAGTAAGAAACCCCGGATTCCATCGGCTATTTCTTGCGCGTTGTCTCGAAAATCATATGATTTTTATTAGAATGGCAGATTTGCGTCAAAGGATGTGAAGCTCTATATGCATAACACATGCCAGCTGGACCTACTATTTGATGGTTGGCGTTTTATACAACTTATGCACACATATACCTTAAATATTGAGCACGTCATAATGCGATTCTTGCAATTTGATACACATGACGCATGTGCGATTATTGAGACGAAGAAATTCACCGGAGTGTAGACAAAGTTATTTACTGCTAGTTATTAATATGCTGAATTCTTTTAGAAATTAAAAAAATTCGGTTCTAAGTAACGTTATAATACTTGTCAATGATCTGATTTTCACAAAGAACAGCTTTGAGGTTTTTTACCAAGTATAAACTAAGTTAAAGAATATCAGACAGTTAGTTTAGTTAGGGTAAACTTACGGATAACATTATTAATTTTTTGTATGTACTTATGCATGACAGAATATTTATCATCTTTTGTGTTTGAGCCGGTTTTCTCGATCTCCGCGCAATACGAATCGTCTTGGCGCGCACATGGCACTTCTCCATCGTGTTGTTACACATCTGACGTTTATAAACGCTTTAATGTTCCCGTTTCCCCCTCAAACAAGCTTCTGTCGCGGTCTGAGTTATCACCTTCCTCCTTGTAACTACCATCAAACTGGGTAAATTTCTTCTGCCGACCATTCCGCCGTGCACGTAGAATGTGCACTTGTACCGGTGCACTCGCTGTGTTCTATCAACCTCGATTAAGTGGGTAACCCTTGAGAGTAGTTTCATTAATAATTAATCACTTGGGCATCCATCCTCTCGCCCAACTATGTTGGAGTCAAAATTTCTTGCTTCAGGATTTACCAATATTGTCACTTCGAAGTTGTGACCTCAAGAAATGGACCTTCAAATAGGCTCACAGATCCATGCATAGATCCTACAGTTGGTTGTGTGGTTTTCTGTCGCCTTTCAGTTTACTGCGTTGGGTTTTTATAAACGAAATTATCAGGCGAATAAACAGCTCCGAATTTTCGTTTTCGTGTGCTTGCTGTTGAGCGAACTTCTTGGAGGATCCAATCAATATCGCCAGCTTATGATGCATTCATGGAAATCTATGACAACCGGGACGTTAAACAACTTCGCAAAATATTTATGTAAAATTAGTTTTTTTCCGATGACTTCGTTTTTGCGATCTAGCGATTCCTGGACATGGAAATCAGTAGGATTCACCTTCTGCTATTTACGAACCAAAACGCTCATTTTATTGTGGCTTATGAAGTTGGATTTGTTTTACCCTTGGTTTCATAGAAATAAAGTTTATCCGATATCCATTTGCTTGGGACTTTCTATTCGTATGTCAAGTATTGCCAGTAAAACAGTACTTGTTGTGTCGCTTCAGGGATTCGTGTATGTCGGCCGATAATGCACGCATCAGTAGCTGTTCGAAACCAATTTTTCAAGTCGTGCTCATGAGTTCTATTTCGGCATCGCTCAGTACGGTTATCACGCAGCCATTAGATGTTCTTAAGACAAGGCTTCAGGCTCAGCCTGTTCTTAAACTGTGAGTAAACACCTTAACGCGTTATTTAGCGGTATTCTGTAGCCACTCGAGTGTTGGCGTATTGCGAACTGCCACAGGTCTTTGGTACGAAATTCCGACTGGTGGTTGGGCCGGGCGAATTCGGCTCTTCTGGGCAGGAACTGTCCCCTCGCTTTGGAGATGCGTTCCTGGCATCTGTGCGTACTTTTCCATGCTTGATTTCCTCGAGACCTATCTTCCCAGGTTCGTTTACGGCGGATAGAATTTCATCCTGGTTAAATTAAACCGCCATGTTAACATTTGGTCCAATTTCACTCTCCGTTTTAGAGTTTACCCCTCTGTGGACGCTTTTATTCTTGGTTTCACTGCCCGCTCTCTAGTCGGGGGGCTTTTACTTCCCTTTACCGTTGTTAAAACCCACGCTGAAGCTGGACTGACGAGGGGTCTTTCAACATTTTCATCAATTTCCCAGATCTACGCAGCCAGCAAATGGCGGGGTAAATTCAAGTACATTAGTTATGGTGTTGGAAGAACGGTTATGTAATTCCCCGAAGCGAGTATTATCCATCAATCATCTCTCTAATTCAAACGCATCGTTGCCCGAATCGACTATCACCAGGTTCTGTCAGACTGAATAGGTTCGATAGTGTGCAGCGGGGTTGTCGCCATTCCTTGCAGTTTGCTGCACTCATGTTATCAGTGTTCTCGTTGATCTGACCCACAGGAGTCCTCCACTCGCTGCGTCATATTGAACTAAGCAACTCGGACGTAAAACATTTTACATTAGTTTAAGTTTCATTTTGGTCGTGGCAAGTTCCTTCGTATCACATTTCGGGGAAGAGATGATGGCTTTTCGTTTTCACGGCGTCCTTGAGGGCGATGTAATTGCGTACATCGACTTGAAATACGTCGTCAACTAGCCTCCGTTCTACTGAACTCAGGGTTGAGATAATTTTCATTCACTACTTGCCAGCAAATATTTGTTCTGACGAGTGTTAATTGCTGATTTTTTTAAATGCAGAAATGTCGAGTAATTGCAGGTTTTGTAATTGCGAATGCAGAATCCGGAGGCCATATTTGACTGCCGTGTTTGGCATCGACACGCATATTTTATTTGGATGTAAGATGGCCAATTAATCAGCGGGGTTTAGCATGGTCATCAGGTACTTGTCCCTTCTGAAGGTTCACGTATGCTACTAAGACGCATCTTTTGTGAAATATGCTATTTATGCAGGCTCCCACTTATTGTTTTCTAGTTATGTTTTGATTCACTTGCAGTCTGTTGCGTTACATTGTTAGCAACTGAATGAGCAGTTAAAATGTCTTGCATAGTACCTTTCTACAAGGTAGATTTAGCCGATTAGGTAAGTGCAGTACAAGGTATGATCTCGACATTGGGTTCCCTATTTTAGGCCTTTTCAGTGGTATTGTACCAACACTTGCTCGTGACAGCCCGTACTCCGGCATTTACTTGCTTTTCTATACTAAATTCAAGGCCCGTGCTACACCATGTAAGTGTAGCTTCATTTTCTGCATTGTATGCCGTGCTCATGTGAACCTCTGAAGGGAGCTTTTCTGGAAACGTTACTTAGTCTTTGGGTAGGCATATTTAATCCTATTCACTGATGTATATTAAACAAGACTTATGGTAGTACGCTCTAACAAAGAAGTGCTTGTCTACCCTCCAGGAGACAAATTTTCATGCGACACTTGTCGCGTGGTGAATTGTACAAAGATGGCCTCGTGGGTAACAATCAGTCAGTGTGCTTTCAAGTGTTGTGGGACGAAATGTTTGGACATTTTATTAAAATTCCCAACTATAATGCGAAAAAAGCGTTCTGCGATCGAAGTTGCTGATTAACTTTGACACGTCCTCCACGTTTTGGGTGTCAATCGACGTCAGCGCCGAGAAAAAGACGCTGGCTGGGGGTAAAGTTTATTGTTTATGCGCACTGATTAAACGTATTTGTGCTTCTAACGTAGTTTAGGATTTACCAACCTATTAAATCATTAATTTTGAAAGGTATTACGGAGCTAGGATGCACTTCGCACCAAAACGTCGCATAATTATGTCATATTATCCGATTCGCTTCTGGATTGCATAGCTTACTTTGCGACTTGGAAGGCGCTTTTGCCAACCCTCAAAATGCTTTTGGTAAAGTAGGCATTTTAATTAAGACCGAACAGTTGGTGCATGTACGGCTGATTGTGTAACGCTAATTGTAGTCGCTTTTCATTTTAGCTGGTGTCAACAGCGACCGTCAAACGACTCCTACTTTGGGCGTGTGTGCATTCCTAGCGGCCTTCTGTGCAACCGCTGTTACGCAGCCAGCTGACGTTCTTCGGTCCAATCGACAACTCTCCATTGCTGTAAAGGTATGTAATTAACATTCTTCATAAAACTCTTTTAGTAATGCTTAGGTGGGTGGGGATGTGGCCAGTACAAACGATTTTAGTGCATTGTGAAGTCCCTCAACCCAAGTTTAAACTCACCACCTTCGAATGTTTGTGAACCAAATTGACATGCCTTTGTTACTGTAATGTCAAATCGGCCCTAATTCGTCATCCGTGAATGGCAGGTGATGTTTTTTGCTCTTTTCATGAGCAGATTGGCAGTTATCTAGCGTGTTCGCCTCTTTTGTCGAGTTTGTCTGTTTTTTTTCATGCAAATGAGATTGCTGTGGGATCTCTGGCATTGAGTTTTATAGCGTCCGTAGCTTCTTAGTCCCGACCAGTTCTTCACTCAGTCTCTCGACGCATTCGCGCTTCAACTGGGGACGAGTTAATCTCGGACGTTGACCTAAGCTGCGTTTCAGTAGCGTTGAATTATTGTCGACGTGCTAACAAGCCCACGTTCTCTTGAGCTGAATCCTTCTGAGAAATTGGCTGCACTCTCCTCTAATTCTGATTTCCCTGAACCAAATAGTTTGGCTTTAACACGGAGCTCCATGTGATCGACTGGCCATATGGTTTAAAGTATTAATGATTTGTTAAAAAGTGTACAAATGACCATTTTGCTACATCGGGCTTTAAGTCACCCAGTTTTGGCTTGCACTTACCAATTCCTCCCTGGGTCCGTCAGGGCGCGAAGCCAGCCACTTGGACGCGTGTCGTGAGCGACGTCTTGCGGGTGGACGGAATCACGGGACTGTGGCGCGGCTTCTCCCTCCGACTCGCACGCCGGGCGGTGTTCGCCGTCGTTTCTTGGACTCTCTTCGACAGCATTCCAGAGAGGCGGCAGAGTAGCCTCCGTCCAACCAGCTAGTCTTTCGGCTTCACGCCGTATCGTTGCGCCTTGCCCCCTTTGCAGCCCGACATTCAAGCCTGCAGATTTTTATCTTTTTTAACCAATTTTCTCTGCCATATTCTCAGCGTGCTTCATGGTCCTCCAGGAGTCGACCCAGTCCAAATCGTTTTGTGGTTTTTTTTAGTCAGATCAAATATTTCTCCTCGACAAATGCAGTACTCCCCACCATCGTAAAAACAGTTTTTTTCATAATATTGGTATGACTTTTGTTTTTATTTCCTCAAAAAACCGTTCACTTCCCCGAAATATTGGGTCTTGCCTCCGACCTTGCCATCTTTCTTTTGATGTAGCTATGCACACACCTGGTTTTCTAATTTTTGTAACAGGAGACAAAGAAATCACCCCTCTCCAACTCTCAACGCCCCCACCAAGGGGTTTTTGGACTGCCTGCTAGCATATGTCCTCCACCGGCGTCGAACTTTTCACTATATTTCTTCTTTTCTAATAAAGCCTTAGTCCCATCGATTTACGGGAGTAAATTTATCTGTTTCACATTAGGCTGGTATCATTTTTTCGCAGATTTTATAAGACCAGAGCAACGCCTTCACATAGCACGCTAGGGATCCGCAAACACGCTCCCGTGGTGCATTTAGCGACCCTGGTCCACTTTTAGGAGAAAGAGAGAATGCACATTTTTATGAGGTTACACTTAAATTCATAGAGGTAGTACGCAAAGGCCTGTACAAAAATCTAGTCCCACAGCTTTATAACACCATCCCAACCGGCAGACACCACCTTGGAGGTTTCGTGAGGAAGCCAAGCAAGGTCAATGCAAACTGAGTCGTGGGCCTTCCACTTCGTCAGAAGCCGGGTTGTCTTCCACTCCCAGAGGTAGATCAGCCCGTCGCCGTCCCCGGAGACGATGTAGCGCAGATCGGGCGACATGTCCGTCTGGCAGGCATAGCCAGACACTGTGTGGCCTCGGAAGAGCTTCTTGCGCATTCGTTTGAAGCCAGCAAAGACGTTGAAGACAACGATTTGGTTGTCCAACGACTGACACAACAAGTACTTGCCTAAAGCCGTGAATCCAAAAGTGAAGGCATGATCAGAAAAAAACGTGCCTCACGAATTCGTGGAAGTACTTCGAATATACACCAATTTGAGCATGCACGGGCATCAAGTATGCCATGTGAAAAGGCTTGACAGTCAACAACGGTTTGTCCGAGAATGCACAACTTATAGCACACTTAAAATTGCATACATTATAAAGATAGATGAGGCCCGGCACTTGTCAACAGTCAAAATTAATGCACATCGCCACTTTTAAACAAATTACCTCACGCCTAACACATTGACGCCGGAAATGATCCAATGCCGACAAAACACCCCATAGCATAAACTATTCGAATGTAGCACTTTCGAGACATGCAAAACTGACCTAGCTTTAAAAATATGCGCCGTTCACCGAATTCGCACCACGATCACTAACTGGTCGATGCAAGGAGTAAGTGGGATACATTAAAAAACAAAAATAACAGATTACCATTGGGTGAGAGGGTGACTGCGGGCATGGAATGAAGGGAGGGATCTGCCAGGTACTTGAAGTCCACGGGGATGTCCCACTCCCACACTCGAAGTGACTTGTCGTCGGAGGTTGAGACAAACCTTCGGTTATTGTCGACAAATGTCACGGTGTTGACGGCTCCAAGATGGCGATCGTACTGCTGTACCACCTCGCCACTACGGACATCGTACTAAAAGTCACATGGTAAGGAGAGGCAACTTGTCGATTAAGAGGAATTCGGTGGATTGATAGGGGTTATCAGCGATCTGACCGTGAAGACATTCGATAGGATGCTCTAGCCGTCAAATTACCACACAAACCGACGCTAATCATGCAACATCATTAATAAAAAAACACCGCCAAAAAATATTACATAAATAGCTAATTATTGTCACGCTCAAAATGCATTTTATGTTTGCATGAATTAGGTCAAAAGGAAGTGCTTCTGAACTACTAAGACAAAGTGCTCGGTGCATGATTAAAACTAATAAATCATAGACGATGACTAACAATGCGGAGACCAGGTGTTGACAAAGCCGTACCATCAGAAAGTGACAAGGGAGTCGATGAAATGAGGAGTAAAAGGGGACAACTCACACAAAGGATCTTCTTGTCCGCACAGCCGGCCAAAAAGAGGTGCTGTTTATCCTCATCGGGGTTGAACTTGACACAGTAGGCGACCTTCTTCAGGCTGAACTGTCCGGAGCATTTGCCCGTCTCCGTGTCCCAGAGTTTGATAAAACGATCATAAGAGGCGGAGAGAAATTGAGTGCCTGTGAGGTTGAAGGTTACGTCTCGAACTGCTTGTCGATGACCAATATAAGAGCGGATTAATCGACGATCATGGTACAGTTCCCACAGCTAAAAAACAGGAGGAACAAGGGAAGGGCTAACGCATCAACCAGAAGACTACAAACACCTAGAATAGTAGGCATCATTAACCGACCTACTACTTCAGCGAAGGTCATAACTTCTGATGACGTTAAATCCATCACGTAAAATCATATTTGAATGAGCGGTACTTCTTTGCAAAATAGTCGAATATTTGACATCCTGAATAACGAACTCAAAATTTGCGCTGGGTCAATGAACCCATCGAAACTTAAATTGCACCAAAATTTTGACACAGAGGTGATGGATCGGAGGACAGTTTGTGGAAGTGTACAAACCTTAATTTTACTATCCATGCCGGCAGAGAGGAGTAAATGACCAGATCTGGGGAACAGACGAATTGCCGAGACACCTCGGGCGTGTGCGTTGCTCCACTCGTGAATGAGGCGTTTGGGCAGGAAGCAACGCTCTGGCGGTTCCTCCGTTGTCAAACTGACGCCAGGAATGTCGTGGGGAGGGTGAAGGAAGGATCGTCCCTTTAAAAAAATTAACACATTTACACCGTGAAAGTCTGAATAAAACAAAGGAGACTTCGATGATTATAAACACTGTTCGATACATTAGAATTTGTGGTGGTAGGGTGCCTCATGAAGGCGTGCACAGCAACCGCTTTTGCACGCTGAGAACTTCCACTAACATGGAGGAACACGATTAATATACTACAGTAACGAATGAAAAAGAGAAGACAATGGATTTACGACGGTTTGAATTGGCAAATCATGGCGTGGGGCAGGCCGCAAATCGAAATTACAAGCCAAAGAAATGAAATCAAAAGAAGCCACGATTAAAAATTCTACCTTATTTGTCTATAGGCTTCTGAGGAATACACCCATATCATTCTTTTACTATTTGCAAGATAGTTAAAACCTTTGGTTGAAGCGAAGACCACATCTCAAGAAAGCTTCATCTATACAATTACGACTAGAAAAAATCATTTAAGCTGTCTAACGAAATAAAACCCAGGTGATGGTTGAATATGTGAGACCTAACTACACCGGAGGGAAATTCAGCATGTCCATTTATGGTGAAAGGGAGCTGAAATGGTTTCGGGCTACGTAAGCAGAAGTGAAAACGCATAAACCGAGGCTGTAGTACTCAGACCTTTCAGAAAGAATCCCAGGAAGCCGTGTTCCATCTTAAACATTCACACCGCTTGGAATCAACACCAAATTTAGACGAAATCATTTCCAGCACGGTAGTTGTTGGTGTAAATGAAAGCCCGCACAAATCCGAGAACTAAGTGGCAGGTAGCGGAGGTAAAAATGAAAAAAAAAAGAAACAATGCCCGATACCTACCTGATAATCTGTGGGTGTAGAAATATGTAGAGTAGACTTTTCTTCGGTTATGGGTGCCTCCTCAACGCGCTTCTTCTTAACCGCCTTTTTCGCCAAGTAGGCCTCCAGATAGATGCGGTCCTCGTCGGAGGGAACTGAGATGGTTACTTCGTCCTTGTACTTTGCCCAGGGCCCAGTGTATTCTTCGCTTGAGGGGTCCCAGTTAGAGGCCTGGGGGCGTTTCTCGCGCTTACTGCTGCCCTTCCTCTCCGCCACCGTCTTGCCTAAAGTTGGCGTCGACAACATACAATGTACTAATTGTGACAGGAATAAAGCACCTGTTCTAGTTTATTGCGAGACCAAGCACGTAAATTTGATCAGCAGTTATTGTGGCTTTCCGATCCTATTTAGTTAAATTTTTGGGTTCCATTAAATTCTTACCTGTGATGATAATAGTTGTTACCTATGGAGGGTCAAACGCATGGAACCAGAATCTTACATGAATAACTAAGTGAGTAAAGATAATAATTTTTCGGATAAAATACAGATTAGTGCTGCAACTCCCTGACGATAATAATTAATGGGATAGATGTGCTAAAAAAATACTTCACGGACCTAACACATGACCATAGCAGATTTTGGACGCATGATAACTTTAAAATGGATTTTTAAGGACTATTATCTACAGTGCATTACAATATGTATCGTTAGACCACCATAAGAGACTGTGATTTTTACCTACGAAATGCTGATATACAAAGCCTCATTTTATCCTAAAGTGCTCCAATTCGCGTGAAAACGCATGCTAGTACTAACTATCGTTAGTAACGCGTCAGTACCAACAAATTATGTGAAGCTGAAAACATATGAATACTTTTCAGAAGCACAAAGTTATCTCATAGATTAACGGCGGTGAGTTTTAAAGTGATTGAAGTTAGGTATTACCGCTTCGGCACACTTTAACGAAATCTATTATATGTTTAAATACAAAAAGTAATGCTGATCTGACGAAAAATAACTTGCAGATGGGCTAACTTCAGTTGAATTGGCTCACATAAATGTCAAATGGAAATTTGAATGCAGTTCCTTATTCATAAAGTGAAAAAATACAGATTAATTTCCAAATAAAAGCACTTAAAGACGACATACCTTCGCTTTCGTCGACACGTTCTGGTGAGCCGACCACCTTACCCATATTTTCTCCCAACACACTAGGGTCTTCGGAATAGCCTACAAAGTTATGACACTATCGGGAGTCATGCCTTACCGTAACGCATAAAGGTTCGATACTGGTTTTCAAAAGTGAACGTGTTCACATTAGTTGGTTCTACCAGACCCGTAAGCATATTCTTCGGAGCCTTTTGGCGGTCTGATGCAAATGGATTTTCTGGACCGACCTTAAAAATGCAAGAAAACAACATCAACGTAGCAATGCACCTATTTTGTTTACAGTAAACATTTTTAAAACGTTAAAAAGGGAAAGCAATCAAAATGTTACGTGATCTAGAATATATTCCGAAGGCAAATTCAATTCCAAATAAAATCCAAGCAGAATATTCTTATACCTGAGGAGTATTTACCTGTTCACTTGCACTAAACCAAATCTACCAGGACTGATTCGCCCTGACGATTGTTGAAAGTTTACGCAGCCTTATTTAGCGCGACTGACGAAATGTTGGCATCAAAGAAACAAAATACACTTTCCAAAGGACTGGAGTCTAGGTGGGAAACCGCGTTTCGAGTTAAAAAGTATCGTTTAAACATTCTTTTACCTGACATTGTTTGCAAAGTGGCATAAATTAAACACGATTAGAAATGTACCAAGCGTAGGCCGATGCAAACATCAATGAAGCATATTAAAGGATGAAAAAACTACCTGAGGAGCAAATAGCTGATCATATCGGGGATTGTGCACCAACTCTGTTGAATGGGGATCGACAGGTACAAGCGAGAGAACATCTTCCTTTATTTCAACGGGTGCAGTGGAGTTAATTGCTGGAACCAATGTTGATGTTGTTATTAACTTTGGTGATAACTTTGGAGATCCTACCTCATCATCGGAGGAGTTATCATAAGCCACAAGCTCCGCCATCCAGTCAGGTTGCGAAAAGACAGATCACCGTTACTGAAAATTCCGCACTTTTCAAATATTGTTTTAAACTAGTGAAAGCTGATTAAAGGAGAGAGAGAGAGAGAGAGAGACGATTTTCAAGTAAAAAGAAGTGAGAGTAACAACTTTTGATAATTTTTAAAGACAAAATTGCATTTTGTCTAAAACTTTACTGAAACCTCTGGTGCAACTTGCCCACCGAACGGGAATTAGATGGATTGACAAATTTTACCCGTTCCTCTAAGATATCCGGAGCATCAAGGCAGACTATCAGTTGTATGATAAAAGAATAGAAGGAAGAAGCAGGTGAAGTCCATGCTGCCGCACCCAAATGCAGAAGTACTAGAGATTAGCGAGAGAGTTAGATTTGGAGGATTGATAAAATGGCCGTGGAGACGATAGGTAATGACATCAGGCCTACAATTGTGCCTTTAGAAAAGCGAGACGCTTTTAAAAAAAAGATGAAAAGGAATATCCAAATTGACGTGCGTCAGCCTAATGGTAAGCATTACACCATGCGCTTTCAAATTAAACTAGGTTTATTTGTCTAGAGTCACCCAGAAGTCAAATGCAAACCACGAGATACCACTTTCAATAATTAAAATCTGGGCACAACTTTGCCAAAAAATCGTAGTGATAATGTCTTGCTTAAGGTTTTATTAATAAAGTAAGCCTTTTATTTATGCAACAGATTCAGGATTTCATTGATATTGCTGTGAATCGAGTTTATGCACACTCCCTAGTCCAGTCGCTCCATTGTCCGATACAGGGTTCCTATTTTCGCAGCCTATTGCCTTTATTCGCGCGATTATTTATCTTGGATTATCCTTACACCTTGGTCTCGATGTTAGCGCATCGGTTCAGGGTTAATTTAGTGACCCCGGCGTGGCTCAGGACCACATGCTGCTGCCAAAAACAATATCTTATGTAATCCATCTTTTAATATAATAAAAATCAAAGAATGCCGTTTTAAGCTATGCGAAATTTATATTTTCGTACACTGCTAATTGCACTTAAGGCTGCAGGCATCACACCTTTGTGGGCCCATTCAATTGTGTACTCAGCCTATAACTTAGACAATAAAATGCCCTCTGTGAAAGGACTTGTCCTGATTTGGGAAGAAACTGACTCATTCGTGCATTATCACTCCCTTGTCATTTGACCACAAGTAAACTATTAAATAACGTTAATTAACAAAGATAACGAAAATTAACTAACTGATCATTTTAACTTAATTGTTAAAATTTTTTTTGAAATATATCTGATTCTAATTAAAAGGCTTTTAAAATAGTAATTATTGTTCTATTTACACGATCGGGGAATTTCGAAAATGAAAAATTTGAACCGTTTGAAAGTAACAAAAATTTCTTGAGTATTCTTAAAGTAGTTAATTGTAATAAGCTACATATAAACTTTAGAACTGCCTTGCTTAATATCGAATAAAATTTTTGCCTGTTTTATACATGGTTTACACAACATCATCGAAAGCCTCATTTAAATAGCCAATTTTACACCATTTCATAGACGAAAATTTTTAAAAATTATCTTTTATTACATTCAGGCACAAAAAGGAAAGACATGAGAGAGTCGAAAGTAATTTTCCGGTCTGTGGCGATGAGTAGGTGATTATTTTTAATATACGTGATCTAGCACGGAAAAAAATTGGAAATCTAGTGTGCACCTCACGTCGCGGTGTTCGTTCGAAAAGTGGTGTCTAGCTCTACTGTGTAAGCTGACGCATTATGTCAATGGATACATGCCTAACAATCATGAATTCATCATCGCAAGAAATCTGTTAAACTCAATTTTAATTACAGCAATTGTGAAATTTATAAACCGCCTACCAAACAAAAGTGCAAACCAAGAGATTACTATGAATCCTTTTCTTGAAGATAGCATCTCTGTATGGGTTGATAACTAGACTTGCAACATCACCAGAGTAGGTGGAACCCTGTATTTTCATAAAAAAACCAGAGAGTGAGTGTAAGAACAAGGAGATTATAGATTTAGATGATCAAGCTTAACCTGTGTACCCATAAACGCAGTTTTGAAGCGATTCATTACCTATTGATAGGAAGGATTCATCATATTCAAAATGAGAATAAAATAAGCACGTCAACTAAGATGCTAATAATATTAGTTCCTCAAAGCGTTGAATGTTAACATAGAAGCAAAGAAATTATCTGATTACTAAGTTGAACTGCATTGGGTTGTATATTTTGTTAGAGTCTGTCCAAATTAAACAGCAAAATGACTTATATATTTCACTAAGCTTAAACCTGAGCTAAATAAAAAGGTCATTGACTTAATATTAAGTACATAAAATATGTCCTACCTTTAATTGTAAATCACACTTAAAATTACAAAACTAAAGCTTTTCAATTTCTTCTGTGTGGATTTATATCTTTTATGCTGTATTTTGCCTATATTTATTAACTGAGTTTAAGAAGAGCACTTATTTTCACAGTTAAATTATTAAAATCAGCCAGAACCGTGGTTTTCGGTATAAATAAGTTTTTGTTTAACACTTGCTGTTTAAATATTTATTTCATTTATGAAGTTTTGCCTAGTTAATGTTGTTAGTTTTAATGGTTTTATTTAATTTCTGTAACACCAACCTTGTGGGGGCGGGCTTTCCGTGTTAACGTCTCATTCTGCCCGATTGGTATTTTGGCCGCACCTTAGCGTTTGTTATCATGTATACATACTGGGAACTTTCTCATTGATACTGACTGTGAATATCACCTAAGGATTAAAGTTTGATGATCTGCGTCTTTTGAAAGCCCCAAAAGAATTTTCTCAATGTAGCGTCGATCAAATTTCCCTTCCACCTCACTGTCTTTTCGGCGTTTTGCAACTGCATAGTAGAGCCAAATTGTTTTCTGATCAGGTTTTGATTGAAAACTATGAATAGTGTCGCTGGAGAGGATCTTGCGTGCACTGATGAAATAAAGGTGTATGAAGATGAAGGAGAGGAGGATGAGCAGGTCAAATCATCAGAAAATTTAACTGAGGATAAGGTCGGCCTAGTCATTGAAAGTGAAGGACAGGTAACGTCACTAGTAATTCTTTTTTACGTAGATATATTAACTTTCTGCATATGTCTGTGTTTAATTTTCGCACTTCGTACAAACTGGATTTTCCTTAATTTTAATACTGGTTTGCAGTACATTTCAGCTGCTATCTGATTATTATTAAATGCGGTAGTATGCAACAGTGGTTTTTTAAACAATACGGTATATGATAGCACGGTCTAAACATAAATTTATTTTATAATGTCACTATCCTCATTTTGTTCTGTAAATATGTGCCCTGTATTTTTAAACATTTAATAGATTTCCACAGGCAAATATGGGGTGATCACCTTAATTATCGAAATTCCTTGGCTCGGATCTCGACTTATCTGAAACTCACTGTTGCTCACTGTTTCTAAATGTCTAGTTTCAGTTTTTTGATAAAATCCTGTATTTGAAAATTTCATAAACCTCGCTCGGTCCCTTCTGAAGTACTGCCAAATAGCCACAAAGTTCTGTTCAATTTTTTCACAGTCTTTTTTTAATTCGGGAATTGGTGAAGTGACGCCTTTTGGCCGCATGAAACCTTGTACATAATTGGATTCTGGTAATGAGCTTTGCTTTCATTGAATTTTACAGGATAAATTCAAAACGAGTCTGTTTTTTCAAACGCATAAATGCATTAATCCCGGTGTGGTTAAAAAATGATCGACAACAGATGGATTCGATTTTCAGTGACTCCTGATCCTACTAGTCCAGAAATTCATTCACCCTATTGACCCATCTCCATTCATCTATTTATCTTGCAGTCACATAATGTTTTTTACTATTGATGCTATTTATGCAAGATGTTGACTGTTTTAAACGCTCTCATGTCTCCATAATACACACTCATGCGTAATTATTGAAGTAATTTTAATATTCAGGCCCAGCCACAAGTTCGACATTTCCACTACCGATATCCTTATTGTTCTGTTATTACTGTGTAGTTGACTACGTTATCAGATATTAAATCGCATGCCAGAGGGGTAACGTTTTAAGGTTTTGTGGTCATAATCAGAAACCAATGATAACTGTGGTTACACTAAACACTAGTTAAGTGTTCCTTCAGGAAAATGTATTCAGCGTCTGTTTAATGATGAAATATTAGTTATTTACTTAACCATTGCTTCTTTAGTCTGGTGTAATTTTGGTACCATCATTGAAATGTAAAAATGTAGGCATGTGTTACTAGCAAAATATGAATGTTTTTAACTACAAAGATGTTGGGATTTCTGGTTCTTTCCTTTGCACTCATGTTCATTATATTCATCACTCTTTCTACTGCAAATGAACATCTCATGCACGCCTGCCCATACGTTTAGTCTAGTTCCTTAATGGGATTGCGATGGAAACGGTGATATTCAAAATAGTGAGTATTTTATAAATTTATGAACTGGGTTGCTGAGGTAATGCGTATTTGTGTATTCGCGGGCTCCTGCAATACGCAGAGTTTTCACTTGCTCGACCAGTTGGAAATATGACTGAACATAGTTTGAAGGACTATCACACGTTGTGCTTGCATTGGTAACTCCATAACAGTGCTTTTGCTAAGACTGATGCACTTCAGGCTCTCCTTTTAATGCAAAATCATTCCTTTAAACCAGAAATATGGTTTAACACATGTGTGTTTGTCCTAGTTCGAGGCCACGCGTGGTTGATGTACGCACATGTTCGCACACAGCATGGTAGACCCAGGTTTTCTTTTCCAGACATTTGCGTTGCTTGGCATGAATCGGGCGTTTCCATTTAGGAAGCGCCTTCTAAGGACAAATTCCCGATTGACCGATCTGTTAATGGTACTCATTCCAGAGCTCGATCTGGAGGGCGTGAGAAACACATGGGGGTCCGTGTTAAGTCAAATACATCTTCCAATAATCCTTTTGGAAGTTTTGGTTTTTTTAAAAACCAAAAAGACCCCTAGAAAAAATGCCTCAATTATACGAGACTTGATTTATTCATTTTATGCGCATCGTTCACGTTTCTTGCGCACTTGATCAAAACACACACAAACGGCGCTGGAGTTTTTGCTCCTTTTTATAAAGTTCGTCAATCTATGCTGCGCCTGAATTCTTGGTGTACTTGCAATAACAACTTGGGGTTTCGGTTGGTACTAGTGCCTTTCTGTTGCATCTCCCCCTTTTTCCCCATTACTTGTGGCTGACAATGGTCGTCATGGTGGCAACCGCACTTCCGCCAGAATGACTGCTGCTTACAAGAACAATTGCTCCACACGCAAACCGTGGTGGCGAAAGCGAATCCCCTCCCATCCCACCCCCAGCACACTGGAAGGGCGTCACCTCTGAGTCTTCACTACCCTGATTATATCAGAGTTGCTGTTTCTGCTTTTCCTCGTTAGTCTTCGTAGTCTGCTCTACTACCCAATTTTGTCCATTCCTCGCCCCCTCTGTCCGCTATTGATGCGTACAGTTTGCGCAAATGCGCATACGTTTGCGTATGTGTACACAACTTCCGTCGCTGGTGCTTCGGTTGCCCCTCGGCATGGGAGGGTGTCAGAGAGGGGACTGCCGAGGCACGCACAGTGGCGATCCCTAGAGCCTGGGTGGCATGTTTGAACAGTCTCGCGCTTTGTGCAGGTTCTAAGAATCGTACAGTTTACTCCTAGACTTAAAGCTAAAACTATTCATTGCTTTCCTCTCTAGGCTTAGATACAAACTTTTCTGTATTAAAACCCCAGTGTCACCTAGACTGCTCCCACTGCAATCCCCTGTTCCAAACTATTAGCCATTTGGTCACATTTCGTGGCAGATTCCTTGGTGAAGGACTCTCTGATTTCTGTAAATTACGCGTCGAAACGTTAAAATGGAGGTTTAATTTCTTGAAGTATTTATATGACAAAGACCCTGGTATTATGTGCAAGCAGTGAATCTTCTCATGATAAAGAAATTTAGAAAAGGAGAAAACCATATTTTACTGCCACGTGGGTGGCCACAGCTGTGCAAAAATTCATCCGTTACTAGATTTCAAGGAAGCAAAACGCACACTGTCCATTTCACTAAATTGTTTCTTTCTTCAAATCAGGGAAACTGTGGTATCCGAAATTAAGGCTATTTCCTATCAAATAAGTGGATACAAACGCAAACCTCACGTAAAATGATATAATACATCAGATTTCTCGGATAACTAGTCTCTCTTTCGACCGCTATATTTGCAGTCACACCTGAAGAGATAGTTCTTATTTTGAAAGCATACAATTCCAGGTTGATGTTTTTCAAATCACTAATAAGACTAGATTTGAAATGCATAGGCTGGAGATTATCTCAATATGTGTTTGCAGAAATTACGTTGTTAGTACGGGGAACAAAGACGCAAACAACTAATAATAAGCGAAACCTGGACGAGTCTTATTCGACAACAGCTGACAGATGACCTTAGATTGAGACACGTGTTGGACAGCTGTTGGCAGAATGTGAATACCGGGAGGGGTGGGTTACCTCCTTTGAACGATTGCTATTGCAATTTACTCAACATTTTCTGGGTGATTTCTTTCATACTCGAAATCACCACTGATATCAGCTTTTCACACTTCACGATTTGGTTTGTTCTGCCGAGTATGCGAAACCATGTAACCTGATGCCTAGTTCACGAATCCACTATGCCCGTCCCATTATGCATTTTCGCAGTTGGTAGTTTCTCGTTTATCATTAGTTTACGTGATGTCATTCTCCAAGCCTACAATCAACTAAACAATCTAGTCTAAAGTGGAAAACGAAAAGATTAAAACATATGTTATTGTGAAATCTTGTCATCTTAGTAAATCAGTTGCCATTAGTCTCGTGGCTCGAAGGAATCCATAGAAAACTACCCCTCCAGTGGGTGATTGCTGGGCTTATCCGCCAGCTTTTATTTATGAGACACTGATGCTTATCAGTGAATGGAACGGGAATTACGTGATCGAAGGACATAAAGCCTGGGTCAGAGCCGGAAGTCATGGCAAACGTCCGCGCTGTTGCGATTTGCTTCGGGGTCTGCGCAACTTCGAAGTGAGATGGGTCATTATGGTGCTTAATACCTCTTTTAGAGTCTGACAAATTTCAGTCCCACTTAACACGAATTAGTTTAAGATTGAAATTGATTTACTTCCTCCCTAGACATTGATAATTACTGGCGGTTTCGATTAACGTATCCTGTAATCATCGTGACATCTTCACGAACCTAGGACTTGTGTGTGTCTACGTTCAGGGGGAATTTTTTCCTCTCCCCATCCTGATTTTTTTCGTTCCCGCACTTCGGTTAGTTAAGACAGGCATGAGAAACACCGTACTGCAGCCGACGCTACATTTGCCTTTTTGTTTCACTGCGAACGTAGGTATGCTCAAGCAGTCCTGTGGTGTCTTCTGGCACGACCAGTGTCCGTCAAATGTGGGTTTTTTGAAACTTAAAGCTTCGCGGAATTACTTTAACCAGTTTCACGCAAACGTTACTACCGCAGACCAGTATTTCGTGGGCCCCATAAAAATTTATCCTTACACTCCTATAAAAGCCTAACAACACTGATGTAAATGAACTACAATTTCGTTATTTGCTCATTGAAATAATCATCGGACATTGGTTTTGCACGTTGATTAGTGGATAAATAAAATAACCTAATGAAATGCTTCATTTGTGCCTTACGCATTCGAATGGCCTTCTGGGAAAAATCCGATAGGATGAGTACGCTCCCTGTGCTCTACTTTGCCTTCGCAGGTGGGCTTCGACTATGATGCTTCTGTAGGCGTCCACGGTCAGCCACTATGCTCTGAGGCCACTTTTTTCTATCGTGTTTTGCGACCCATTAGCACAGCCAAATCGGAGATCGCGTATGTTGAGAGAAACAGGCTAATTCATACCTCTCCCGCCCCGTGAAGCATGTATCATCGGGCTAATTGAAATTAATGGGTTCTCTTGTGCCGTGTACGTTGTATTGCACGTTTGCCCCACTTGGCGCCTCGATTCTAGCAACACTGCTGAGGCCCTTTAACCAAACTATTTATCATTTTTTTCGCTTAGCATCACAGTCGTGCCATTCGTGTGAACATGCCAGTCTAAACTGGTGCATCTGAAGCCTACTTTGGTCTAATTACTAAGACAATCGATTAGAAATTTCAGAATAGGTGCCAAACGTCAAAGAGTTGAATAATTGTTTACATTTACTGAGGATTTTATTTTTTTTCTTCACCTTTATGCCCCTTACCATCAAGTGCAGCGCTTCCTAGCATTGCTGACTCAGTAAGAAGGGCTGGAATCGTAGCCATTTATCGTTTGGTGTGATAAGATGAAGATATCGAGAATGCGTAACGATTAAATAAAAATGCTAGTGCAAATCGGTGGGTCACCCCCCAATTAATGCCAGATCATAAAAGCCACAGATAACGATGGGGTGAGGGTGAATAAATGATGGAGTTATCCGGTTTTGAAAGGCTACCATTTCGCCTGACACTTTTAGGACAACCACCAAAATTAGCCTGATTCACGAAAACCTGGCATTTAACTTCTGATCCTAGCTCTCCCACAGACATTTTAAGTGCTCTTGATATTTGCTTCGACAAATAAATGCCAAATTCGGTTACACAGGCACTAGTAGATTAACTGAGCCATTTTACAACCCTGAAAGTGTGAGCCCCCAGTTCAAACGTGTTGCTTGTTTGGTGGTTAGGGTTCAGAGTTGCATGAAAGGTGTTGTTAAACCGAAAAGGGCGATTATGCGCCTCAAATGAATGCCGTACTGAATTCGTTTAACAGCGTGATAACGGCGATAGCACTAAGCAAGCAAGCACCACTTCATCACGAAACTAACATGTCCAGCGTGCTTTGAGTAAATTTTTACAACAATCATTCGGCCCCGCCGCCTTCTGCGAAGTGTTAAACATAAAACTAATTCTGCCATGTTGCACTTTTTTTACCGAGAAGATAGGAATGCGTCAGAAACTAATGGAAAATTTTCATTGAACAAGCGCCTGGTGCTGAAGGTGATTCAACGTGTAGAAGGTGAATTGGGTGTTTTAGGGGGTTATCTCGGTGTCCAAGAATGGAATATCTGTCTCCACAAACGTGGTCGATGTGGAGACTGAGTGATGAACTTTTGAGTTGCCGGCATACGAAATGGTTGGAAAAATACATCTTTATGGTACAACCGTTTCGGGACATTCCAAACAGCCTTTGACAGATTACATGATATTGGCGTTTCACAACAGCCTGGGAGGGTATAGGTGATGAATGTCCGAATTTTCAATATCGGTCACCTAATTACATTGAAATGGTTATTTCCTCAAAGAAATTGGCAGAGTCAACGAAAATGTGTCTTGCCGTCAGCAAATAAAAGTCCTGGTAATTGTGAAAAGAGGTGGCACGGACAATGGCAATGGCATATTCGTTCCTGAAAAGCCACGTTGTCGCATTACTAATTGCTTAAATCAAACCAAACTTTTCATTTACCTAAATGCGGTTCATGCTTAATCAAAACAAAGGAGGTAATTGACATGACCGTCGGAGCTGTCCTAGAGAAGGGATGTTGTGTTCCACGGTGCATTTGTTGTGACCCGGCGAAAATGTTTTCCCTGTTTTTGCATCTTCATATTAACCTTTTAGTTGGGGTTCTATAAACATTCATATTGACAGAATCCGGAAACTTGACCATCATGAATTCCTTCAATAAGCAGAAAACCAGAGGATCGTTGTCCTGGGTGGCACAGGCGCAAGCGACTAGTTTTGGTTCTGAGGCCACAAATGAGGTGTTTTGAATGGATTAGAGAAGGGATACTCATCTGTTATAAACGATAATATTCTGGCAATTCGATCTCTGACATGCACTGGACCCAAAAGCAGTCACTTGGTATCATCAAAACGAAAACGTGTTGGCTACGCCTGGAGTGTTTGCGGTCCAGTTCCTATATCCTCGGACAACCCTTAATCGCCGGTCAAGCTTCTACCTTTGGAATGATAACGTAAATTATCAGTTAAAAAAATGACGCATAGCTTGTTCATCCAGGCCACCCACGTTACCAATAGGGGTGAGTTATGGATCTCATCAATTAACCTGGTACGGGATGACTGTCATCGGAGGCGAAGTGGCTTAGATCTATCTATCATTTCAACTTACCTTTCCTTCCCTATTCATTCTCTGGGTACTTCGTATCACACCATGCGTTAGCACCACAAACGGCCTTCTAGCCATATATTTGGTGAACCAAGAAAGGCAATCATGAATTCACTTTTAATGTTAGCTAGAACGTAAAGATTTGTACTAACAGAATTTTTTTAAAATCTACCTATCATCGGTTGGCGTGTTTTCCTTATTGCAAGCCCC